GTAGCATGAGTTTCTATAGAATATTTATGAAGATTAATATTGTAATTTAATTAATTTAAAATCTGTATTTTAATTTTCATCTTAGAATATATGTTTGCTTAGTTTCTCCTAATTGTTGCTTTTGTATTGTTTGACAGAAATTGCAAATTCCTCCTTGTACTGAATGCAAGATGGAAAAAAACCAGGAAAAGCAGTTAACCAGCTTTGAAGGGAGGGCAACTAGAGAAGATAAAATATTGTAAATATCAAGAAACTGTGTGAGAGCATTCATTTGCTATTGTCTTCATATACTTTTTAGATCACAGAGTTGATGAAAATACTAAATTTTTAAAGCATGCAAATTTTTCACAATTTTATGTAACTTTATAAGGTAGTCTGCCAATTTTCCAAAATATTCTAGACTAATTATGATCCTTAAGCAATAATATAATTAAAATGGATACCCACAGTCACAAGTAGTCATTGTCATTAGTAAATTTCCTAATATAAATTGATCTGTTTCAAACTGAAATGCAATATAACATTTATTTCTTCTGGCTAGTTTGGGCACATGTACATCTCAGATCTAATCTTTGAAGCCAATTGATAATATATAAAATGTGGAACCTCCGCTATTCGTACAATCCAAACTACAATTATATCACTTTGTTTGACACATGCAATTTGAGCCACTTTTCTCAAGGTTGAACTGAGTATATTGTTATTTGAGAATGTATCCTGCTGTATTTATTATTATGTTGTGACATGTCTAAAAATGTCAAAGCCATTCTGAATTAGTCGGCTAGCGGAATTTATTAAATCTGTTTGGTATGATGCAGACAAAATAATCTGGATGAATGACTCAGTGTCTGATATAATTGTTAGATCTCTTTGCATTTTATAGACATACCCTCTAGTTTTCTACTGGAATTATTCTAAATTAGAAATCAAGTTGTTGAAATGATTTTTGATAAGAAAGTTGATCTGAATTGTCTCTGGGATGTCAAGAAGGCTTCATAATGCAAAATATGCAAGCCAATAAAACTCATTTATATATGAGTTTTGATGAAAGTAAATAGCCATGTAGAAGCAATGAACACAATAGACTTGTACATTTTTGGAAACAAATGTGTTGTTAGAACCAAACAATGGTTAATATTAATCTTTGAAGTTGGAGTCAATATAGATCTATTGCTCATCCAATAAATGCCTTTCTGAATGATATAAAAGGAACTCACAAGCAAGAAAAATTGTCCTTGAAATGCTATTTAATTGACAGGATGAATATAGTTCAAACTTACTGACTCAAATTTAATGAGTTAAATGATCTGTTTAGTTTTCTGCACCAAATATACTCACATTTGTTGTTTAAACTCATTTTGCAAATGCAGAATGCAGATAAAACTATTGTTTTTATAGACTGGATTTGCCAAGCCACAATTAATACATTTGAAGCTATGTATTATGGCAGACTGCATTAGAAGATATTTAATAAAAATATATATTAATGAACTATATAATCAATTGATGAATTTAAGTTCTGGGTATGATGACACATCTTGGATTATAGTAAAAGAAAGAAAAACAGTGTATTCAAAGAAATACAGTGTCTTGGAGAAATGAAAAATTACCAATTAATGCTAAAAA